TATATATATATATATATATATATATATATATATATATATATATATATATGCCAGTGTCTTTGTCACTACTTACTAATTGACAAAGAAATTTCGTATTTCTTGCTATTTCACGTTACGCCGATTTGAAAAAAAGCAAAAGGAGCAATTCCTTTCCAAATCACACTGATTATGAACAAAGTGGTTGTATTAACATCTTCAATGAAATTATATTTAACTCTTAAGAGGTTATATATGTGCGCTAGATTCAACATAATGCTTCCAACAAAAACTCAGTTAGTGTACGTGAAGTACCAAAAAGAGAAGAATTCAACGACGACAAGGAGTAAACGTAGCTTATTTCCACAGAGAACGAACTTCGTTTTTGGGTATACAGGAATAGATAAATTCCTTGCAAGTTCCTTCAATTACAGAATATTGGCAATTTAAAAAAACCTGAATTTTGTAAATTTTATCACTGTGAAGAAAATGCATTCTCTCATATATAAGGGAACTTCTAATATTAGTAAATGAATATGAAATGATTATTAAATTTGTCTGGTAAAAATGGTTAGTTAATAAAACAGTCAAATTACTTGCAGTAGTGATAGACGTGTATTTGAACTACGGTACATCGGATGAGAATGTTGAAATTCAAGAACGTTAATAAACAGAACCTCCCTAACTATTAATTTAACAGTTTTTCGTTAGTTTGAAGCATTGCTATAAAAGGCGATTGTTCATATATACGAATAGTAGTACCTCTCCCGCCATTGTAATGAGATACTTAAAGTTACTTTTTCATTCATGGAGTGTGAGATAGACTTACCTCCTCGTGGTGCACTATGGGCAACGTATAATCATACGGCAAAAAGTCTATCAACCGGCAGTTGACTTCTGACTTCGAACTACCATGATCCCACTGTATGTCATATTCGACCCCTTTCCTCGTTACTCATCTAACCCTTTCTGAGTATTGGTGTCTGTCTGTTTCCTTTACATCTGTGAATCACTCTTCTATTTCCCCTCCCGAATTCTTCTTACTTTGATGTTCCTCCCCCCCCCTCTGTGAAGCCCGAAGTCAACTAAAGGGCTAATGGTAACTATCAAACCGCTTGCCATTTGTTATAAATAAATAACTATTTCATTCATCAGTGTTGCAGTTAGAGAGCTTATTAAAGTTAAAATTTGTTTACCAGATATATTTGAGGGCTGATGCAGGAAATGTGGGAAGGTTGATTACCACATGGCGAAGTACAATGCACAAGCACTCACTCCCTCAGATGCCTCAAAATAAGCTGCAATGGATATATTTGAGATCAAAGATTTGTCAATTTTGAATGATATTTCTATAGTCAATGAACTTCTTCCGACAAGACAAATTTTGAATTTTTCAGTAGATTGAAGACTAGTTGTGAAAATTATCATTCATCTGCCATCTCTGATCGGAATTGTATTAAATGTGTGAAGATTGGTTATTATTGGTTTAAGTATGACGCATAAACACTTTCTCTTCCTTAGGGGCCACATAAAGAGCTTAAATGAATATTTTCGCGATCAAAGAATTATCAAGACTAAATCCTTTCCTAATTGCAAGTAATATAAGTGTGCTAACATTGCTGACATGTATTAGATATTTGAAAGTTGAGGACAACGGTCGTAAGGCTTGAAATACTTCCTTAAGCTAATCTTGTCGCACAGAATGTAAGATGAAGCGTAATTTATCATAATGTTTGGCTTATTTTAGAGTAAGGTAATTCAAACTACTTCACATTTTGTTAAAGTGGTTCATCATGTTTCTTTTCACAAAGTTGGTTTCATAGCAAGCACAGAAATAAATGAGAAGATTTAATTCTTTGGGGGTCCTTTGTGGTTTTAGTACCATTTTGAAGGAGACGAAATTTTCAATTACGACGAACGATCGTGTTGCTTGATCTTTCTTTGTCGAGAGTACTCAAAATTGGTAATTTTTCAAAAGTGCCTCAAATGATGATCTTAAACAAAAAGTTGCCAGACTCAGGGCCTGATGTCTTTATGTGAGTAAAAATTCCCTTAGACGTTGTAATTAAATTATTATGACGTAATCCCTAATTTCGCATTATACAGCATCAACGTTTTATGACTTAACTTATTAAAAATTGTTGCACACAATCATTCTTACTAAGAAAGATCCGTATAATGGAAAAGTGATGAAAAAGAATTTTAGTTTTCGTTATTTCTTTTTCATTGGGGTTTTATTTCGTTGGACCCATTTGAATTTATTTGCATGTATTATTGAATATTCGATTACTTTGACTCAGATTATCCCAAATGCGTGAGTCCACATGAAGTAACTCAGTGTGAGAAATGCATTTTTTTGACCACATAATAGGAATTATATGTGAGGTATAGGATAACGAAGAACCCCTTCTTCAAGGAAGTCAATCATTGAACGAAAACTTTGCAGATGGGTAGAAATAAATAGATTTCACAATTTGTTAGATCTGATCAATTTATGGACTTTTTTGCCGTATGAGTATAGATTGCTCAGGGTTCGCCACGTGGAGGTAAGTCTATCGCATACCCGTAATTATTTGAAATCGGTTTCGCTTGCTCGAACATTCCTCAAGCATTTTCAAATTACTCGTCTCGTGCCACTGAATGCTTCAATTCTCCGAACATAAAGAAGAATTTGATTTAACTTAAGTGATAATGAGCCAAAGAACGACATATTCATAATAGATCGAGTAATTAAATGGTTCAAGGTAATAATTTTCCGCCTTGATTGATTGGTAGAACTGCTACACCCTATTGGATTAAGCCTATTCTGTATATTAATCTGCATCTTCCGTTACGAGGAATAAAAGTACATTGATCATGTTGCATGTTCCTTCTTTGCTGAGAGTACTCAAAATTGGTAATTTTTCAAAAATGCTATAAATGGTGGTCTTAAACAAAAAATTGCCAGACTCAGGGCCTGTTGTCTTTATGTGAGTAAAAATTCCCTTTGACGTTGTAATTAAATTATTATGACATGGTACCTAGTTTCGTATTATACACCATCAACGTTTTATTGACTTAACTTATTAAAAATTGTTGCACACAATCATTCTTACTAAGAATGATCCGTATAATGGAAAAGTGATGAAAAAGAATTTTAGTTTTCGTTATTTCTTTTTCTTAGTGTTACTGCACAGTCATTGGGGTTTTATTTCGTTGGACCCATTTGAATTTATTTGCATGTGTTATTGAATATTCGATTACTTTGACTCAGATTATCCCAAATGTGTGAGTCCACATGAAGTAACTCAGTGTGAGAAATGCATTTTTTTGACCACATAATAGGAATTATATGTGAGGTGTAGGACAACGAAGAAACCCTTCTTCAAGGAAGTCAATCATTGAACGAAAACTTTGCAGATGGGTAGAAATAAATAGATTTCACAATTTGTGAAACATCATGTAGAAATGAGAAATTGACTTCCTGGAAATATGAGAAACATTTAACTTTATCAACAAGGATAATTGGGGAAAGGAAGTCCAGATTCTAGAAGAAAACTGAGGCCCACAAAATATTTTTATCTTGAATTCACTAATTTTTCATTTTCTTTTATCCATTTGCATTATTGATAAGACCTATTTGGTTATTCGTACAAAACTTTAGAGGACGCATGGGAGAACACACCCTACCTAGAAAATTAAGTAATATCTTAAATCAAGTGTAAATGATTAGATTGATAACCTAGACACATTTTGAACCCACGCTATCAATCAAACGCCATTTCATTGCTAATTGCTAGAATTCCACAATAAGCAATTACATTTATTAATGTTCTTTCATTTAAATCTTAAAATGCAGCACTTTAAAACCTTGTTGAGTGTATATCCACGAAGTTCTTTGCCCATTGTTCAATCGAATACACAAAGCTGATAATTTGTTGACATTGTCAGTGACTATTTCAACATGATCCGATCAAAATTACATATATTATGATTTCAAATGTTTTAATCACGAGCAATCCCCAATGATATTAATCCGATTCAAACATGAAATGTGAATTATCATTTTCCAATTTGGCACCACCTGATTTTCTCCGGAATATGCTAAATCTCATTTCGTGTTCAATATAATGTTGATTACCTCATTTTACTTAGATGGATCCTTCCGCATTGCAAATAATATTTCTATTTTGACGCCTTGGATGTGGCTACAGGTGTCTAAGTGGCTGAATGCAAGAAATTTCATCAGGCATTGGTTTCGATATTGCTATTGTGAAATCTAGTCCTTTAATCCATAACCCTATAGTGATCTCTTTTGATTTTTGATATTTCGAACATGGTGGCATTCTCTTTTTCCTGACTACATCCAGGTTTCAATTGCAATCATCTTTATTTGACACATTTGGTCGTTAAAGACGAATGTTCTTTATGGGCTCCAAGGTCTCTGAAGTTGCTTCCAACGTGGTACATGATACTTACACTGTCACTTTATGGCTTTTAGTAACGAATTTACCAGTGATGAAGTGATGAGCTATCCGGGATATCAATAAATGTCATCAATAGAAGCAAATTAAGAACACGGTTACTTGGCTGTGCCTGCACTACCTGTTGTCAAACGCACTTCTTTCAGCTTTAAAACAACCGTAGTCGACGTCGTATAATAAGAAATAATCAAGCACGCATGCGTTTTTTCTGTGAAACACTTTCCCAACAATTTAATTGCAGATGGGGGATTTTAAAATTCAATATTAACTGGAACCCATCACTTGACTATAATGTCAAACCCTCATTTTGGAAGATTAGTAATACCTTATGGTTTGCATCTGCAAGTCTATTTTTTTCTTCTTAGTAAGCCCCACTGATTTACTTGATTAAACACTAGTACCTTTTTTCAATTACACATAAATTTTATTGTAAATATATTCCCAGAAATATGAATTATTTATTTTTCTCCAAATAAAATTCATTAACTTGTTAGAGGTTCCTTGAAACTGCTCAAAATTTCACCCTACTTGGTATTCTCCACCAGGATGCGCCTTTACAAAAGTTCCAAAAAATTTCTTGCATTTCTTAATAAAATGAATTTATTATATTTGTAGGAAACTGGAGTTATGTTTGTGAGTTCATTCCGAATTACCAATTTGTTCTCAAACAGAGATGTCAATTTTGTCGGAACAAAAACTGCATGATATTTATATTCCATGAAGTCGATTGTGTAAAAATTGAAGTAATTTCTTCAAAATTGTCGAGGCGAAAGAAAGACGACTATTATCAATAAATTTAGACCCTGCCATAGCAACGCAATGACAATTTGACTTGGAAAATTGAAGCAGACCAATGAATGGTCTATGGTTGTGGTTAATATCAATCTTCTATTATTAAGTGGTATTTACGTCGGCCATACATCATAATTATGTCTTGCACTACTCAACGTCTACGTACTTGCCTCATTGCATTCAATATTTCCGTATTCGTATGTTTTAACTTTTTCAGATATTTTACAATCTAGGTAACTGGAGGTATTATATGTGGTTATGGAGCATACCTTCTGCATTGCTCAATAGAATTTGGATTGACTAGCAAAGAAATTGAAATTCCAATATTTATAATTGTCTTTGGACTCTTCGTATTAACGGTTGGCATCATTGGCTGCTTTGGCGCTATTAAATTAAGGCGTGGATTACTCATAACTGTAAGAAGATTTAAATTAATTTTTTTGTAGTTTGCTGTTTTTGTTGGCATTACCATAATAGCCCAAGTATTTGGGGCTGTCTTATTGATTGCCTTAAAGAATAAAGTGGGTTTGAAGTTAGTTTCATCAACTCTCTCATTCAGGTGAAATTTGTAAACAATTATTTCTTGGATGTCATGCAAGAATTCCAGTTGACCGACAAGAAAGAGCAAGCGGAGATTATAATGAAGCTTCAGGCTGCCGTAAGTTGCTTCAAAATAATGAGAGTCCATAGTTAAACTGCTGTGGAATAAGTGCACCGTCAGATTGGCCAGATCCAACTATGAGCTGTTGTATGCCTGGTGAACAGACACCGTGCAATGACTACCCCCAACAGGTATGAAATCTCTCAATTATTATTCAACAACTGCGCCATTGTTTTATAGGGCTGCGATAATGCACTTTACGCATGGTTGGACTATGGCATGCTGAGTGCCGGTGTCACGATTCTTATCTTTTCTCTCATCGATGTTGGCGCAATCGTGGCCGCAGCTTGCCTAGTTGAAAGAAAAGTGCATACCTGAATTTGACGAAAAAAACATTCGCCTACTTTTGCCTAGAAATCCCACTCATCAGTCTTTTATCGCACTTATTTTATTAATGTTTTAGATTTCAAAATTTAAGGGTTATTTCACATTATTTCAAGCAAATAATCTTTAATTACATTTATTTCTGTCTTAGCTTTCAAATTTTTTTATTTCAATAATTTATATACGGGTTGCTTCATAATACTTCAAAGGAATAATCTTTAACAGGAAAATTCTTTTGATTTTCCATTTATGACTCCAATTTATATTATCCTCATCAGACAATTGTCAATCAATATACCCCCTCACACCACCTCCAACACTTTGACGATTTGTAGCTGATTGCTACTCTATTAAAGCCTGACTGACTCGGAAATCTCTATGGCAGATTCTCTTACATCTACCTAGACTCCCAGAACCAGCTAAGCTATAGCCCAGCTATAAAGGAAACAGACGTGTAGCACAGAGCACGTTTATTCAGGACGTATATTGCGGATAAAGTGTGTACACGCAGGGAGCTACTCATGATCAGGATGGGGAATTAGGTTAAACAGAGGTTAATGATTGGTCACTGTTTGTACGGTCGCTGCACACGGAGTTTTACGGCGCACTTCCCAATCATGGCGAGCATACGATGACGCACACAGCGGTAACGTGACCCACAATTTCTCTAGACACATAATATGCCGTCATCATGATGATAGATCAAATGTCAAATGTCTTTGATATGAAAAGCCCTTTAATTATGTAAATAATTTTCAAAATTTCTCACCAAGTCCTCTCTCTCGAACTGGACATTTGAAATACTGAGAGGGTTTCAAGATTATGACGGACGAAATGGAAATTCCTTCCAATGCGTCACACCTCCAAGTTGTTGAAATAAAAAATTTTGCAAATGCTCTTCACTGAGTGTACAAAGCTTGCTTTTAGATGTATAAAATTAAACTGGCTAAGCTAAATCGTTCCTCTTAATTTCTTTGTCTTCATGAAAAAGCCAAGACAACTTCAGTGTTACTCTTTTTACTCAATAAATTTGAAACCCTTTTTCTCAAAACTCGGCGATTTGTGTTACTTCTTCGGATTAAGGTTTGATTAAAGTTTAAATAGACAAAACAATCTGATTAATCAATATTCTCATTAGAATATCACAAAATACTCGAATACAAAGGCTGAGTGAAAGAATGTTGGTCTGGGAAAAAGGCTGTCAATATAATAAATGCGTATTAACGCTCGAGTCAAGTGTTATGCCAAAGGAATGATAGTTTTGCATGTAGCGAATGTTCTAAGTTTCATCAGTAAAACCGACAGAGATATGATATGACCTTAATCCCGTTTGATGATTTGGTTCATACTTGTGTCCACATTTTCAATTCGATTCTGCTCAGAGTTTACATCCATCAACGCATTGCAGCAACAAAATGACATTGAACCTATTTGGCATTGACGATCATTCAATTCAATGAAACTGTCCAAAATCCCTTACATAAGTTACGAAATTTGATTAACCAAACTCTTTTTAATTTAAAAAGGCCACAATTTGTTCATTATTTGTTTAAACTTAAATTTCGGCCTTCACTCCCAATTCCCATTACTCTCTTTACT